GACTCCCTGCAAACGGTCAATGACTACGCAGCTCCAAAGAACACGCAACATATGGCCAAGCCAGGAGAAGAAAGGGACCTCGGAATCACAAGCAAGAACGTACGAAGAGCGAGAGCGCTTCAGGCTGGTGACGCCGGAGCTGAGCCCATCAACCAATTAGATCCAATTAAAAGTCGGCTCCTCACAAACTACATCAGACGAGATGCCAGGCCTGCCAACATTTCAGCATTGGCCCTCCCACGGTCAGTGGCGGTGTTGCTGTGGACCCCAGCATTGAGGTCTGTTTGGTTCTCATGGATTGGGAGATTAGAGACGGCTGGCAACAAGTTTTGGTCTTCCGCTGTCACGCCTCCCGAGTGGAGTTCTGATATTTCTGATCTTGGCCGCTGAAGTATTTTTGGCGACAGTGACAAGCCAGACAATTTATCAAACCCACTGGGTTTAGAGCGAAAAAGGTTTCTCAGGATCCAACACAGAATCAAAGTGATCAAACATTCAGCTTTTTTGTTTACCGCAGGTGCATCTGGAAGACCTTTGGGGAGCAAATGCTGCATCTGCAGCAACTCTCCTCAAAGGTTCCAGGTGCAGACCTCGGAAATCTTGATCTTTTGCTCAAGGTTCCAGTTCCAGGTGCAGACTTTTCATGTGCTGAAGGTGTATATCTAGCGCTTCTGGTTTGTGCAAACAGCGAGCATAGCTCCAGCAAGATGCGAAAAAGTCAGATTCTTTCAGAACAAGGCTGTCCGAAAAGACAAGCAACCAGACTAAGCGCAACTCAGGAGCGCAATGTCTTAATTTGGACAAGACTGTGTGCTCGCATTGTGATTTCAGCATTTGTCCAGAGCTTGGAGACATCAATCCCGTCGGCGCGAAATTCATGGGTTTAGTCAAGTGCCCATAAACACAAGGTTTGTCGCCGAAACGCATACAGTGGAGGCCACAGGTGTATTTCCGAAACAGCTTCCAGAACCAAACCCCGTTTGACACCATGGGCTTGGGGGGACCCCGTCTAAGCCCGACATGCATAGGTTGAGCCTGGAATTACTTTGGTAGATGTGGAAGTTCTCCCTTATACACATTGCAAGATGGCTTAACAGTTGCGCCCGCTAGGTGGAGCCCGAAGGACCACAAGGCCATCGCTGCACGGTTCGATTTGATGGAACAGTCGCAGAACTTAAAGCAGCTTCGCACGGACATGTGGAGACACCGTGGTTTTGGGGCCTGCGATTCCTTTGAAAGCTCTTCGGGCAGACTTCGACCAAAGAGGCGAAGAAGCGTCCGGCGAAAGCTTTGACAGGGACTTCGTGACCTGTGCGGTTGCGCCTGAATGAGTTGGTGGGGTGAAGCTTAAACCGGCTCAAGCGTCAGTGTGCGAGGCTGTGTGCTTGATGCAGCTTGCGTTGATGTTCATGTGTTTCCCGATCGCTGCGCATATGTCTTCGTGTCCACAATTGAACAGTTGTTCCTCGTGCTTGGTTAGGAAGTCTTGTCAGCTAGTTAGTAGTGCTCTAATTTTAACAATGCTCCAGGCTTCGGAGCAGGCGTGGCCCTAAACTTCTCCCCGGCCTTCCCAATGCTGCAATTTTTCGTTTCTGTGCTGTCTGCCTCTTCCAGTGCCTGGGACATGAACTGCTTTTGACATCTTTTGATGCTTGGTCTTGCCAAGGTGGCAGTTCATGTTTCCATTGTCAGTTATCATCATTATAACATTTTCAGAACCAGTTTTTTGGGCGTGATCATCTCTCAATGTGGCTTTGCCTACAACTCCGAAGACGCCGACACAGTATGGTTTCCGCTGTCGTGTTCCTGTCTTGTGTCTTCTCTTCTCTGTTGCTTGAGCTTGTTACCGTTAGCGGGCTACAATTTGTTATCTGCCTCTTCAGCCCTGTCGCCATCTGCCCGAAACCATGGAAACGTTAGACCTCCGAAGACATTAGAACACTCGGTGATTTGCCGCTTGCCTGAGCAGCTTTACGGATGTTGGTTTGCAACGAAAGCAGGCAAGTGGGCAAAGGCACTCTTGGATGCTGGGGGTGATGTTATGGACCAGGACACCGTGTGGCAACTAATGCTATGCACCTTGCTTGGCGCTGAAGGCGTCGACGGGCTTCCGTGGAAGCATATCTGCGCAGCGCTCGCTCCGATACGCTACGACGATTGGAGCTCAGATCAAGCCATAGAAATTGTTGTCAAGTTTGCAATTTGCACACAGATTCTGGCAATCATGTCATGAAGATCCTTTGCAGTGACTGTCGTGACAAGGGGCTGCGGCTTGGTCAAGACAAGTCCCTGATGTTGAATGCGTGGCACGCAGTGTTCCAAGTCTGACTGTCGCGTTCAACTTGAGCGCAGCCTGTAAGCGGTGCATGACATTGATGGCTTTGGACAACTAGTTGTGAATGAAGTTTTGAGCCACTTGGGTGACCTGGGTTATTGCAGGCACGAGCGATTTCACACGATGGCCTTTGAACTCATACCGTTTTCGGTACGGACGCGAAAAGCGGTGCGCCCGTGTTCCTTGGACGCGAGCGGAAGCTTGCGCAACTGTCGACGAGCTTGCCACCACGCACCCAGGTGTGTGTGTGACGAAATGTTTCCCACAGATTGAGCCTGGAGTTGCTGTGGTAGTAGAGTTTTTACATTTTGCAAGATGGTTTAACAGCTGCGCCAGCTGCGTAGAGCGGTAGAGCCATCGCTGCACGGTTTGATTTGATGGAACAGTCGCAGAACTTGAGGCAGCTTCACACGGACATGTGAAGACACCGTGGTTTTGGGGCCTGCGATTCCTTTGAAAGCTCTTCGGGCAGACTTCGACCAAAGAGGCGAAGAAGCGTCCGGCGAAAGCTTTGACAGGGACTTCGTGACCTGTGCGATTGCGCCTGAATGAGTTGGTGGGGTGAAGCTTAAACCGGCTCAAGCCTCAGTGTGCGAGGCTGTGTGCTTGATGCAGCTTGCGCTGATGTTCATGTGTTTCCCGATCGCTGCGCATATGTCTTCGTGTCCACAATTGAACAGTTGTTCCTCGTGCTTGGTTAGGAAGTCTTGTCAGCTAGTTAGTAGTGCTCTAAATTTTAACAATGCTCCAGGCTTCGGAGCAGGCGTGGCCCTAAACTTCTCCCCGGCCTTCCCAATGCTGCAATTTTTCGTTTCTGTGCTGTCTGCCTCTTCCAGTGCCTGGGACATGAACTGCTTTTGACATCTTTTGATGCTTGGTCTTGCCAAGGTGGCAGTTCATGTTTCCATTGTCAGTTATCATTATTATAACATTTTCAGAACCAGTTTCTTGGGCGTGATCATCTCTCAATGTGGCTTTGCCTACAACTCCGAAGAC